TGTGTACAGTTTTGTTCTCCTTGTCTAAGGAAGGACATAAATGTATTAGAAGCAGCCCAGAGAAGATCCATTCAACTGATACCTGGGTTGGGTCTTATGAGGAAAATTTGGGCAAACCGGACCTGTATCCATCGTTCCATTCTTCCAAACTCCAATCTCATTGAACTGTAATAGGAGACAGTGATGCTGAAAGGAGGCAAGCTAATTGAATATTTTAAGGCAGAGGTAGATTCTTGAACAACCTGGGAATCATCGGTTATGGTGGGACAGATGGGAAAGTGGGGTGGAGGTCACCATCAGATCAGCCGCAATCTTATTGAACAGCAAGAGCAGGATCATGCTTCGAATTTATTCATATGTATAAACAGAAAACACATTGTCCTCCATTGAAACTGAAGCATTTTCCCCCAGGGGAATGAGGGGCATGGAGAGGCTGGATTGAAATGTATGGTTAGAAGATGCGTAGAGATCATAGTGAAGTCAGGGAACCAAAATACAGACCAGAAGGACAGAGGGATTTCATGTGTAGCATTTATGGACTGTTTAAGTTGTGAGCAGGATTAAGATTACCCTGGTCAGATTGTAGGGAGGGTGTTAGAGAGAGAGGGATATGTAGCTAAGACAGCAATGTACCAACCTTTCAGAGTAACGGAGGTTGGAAATGGGTGCTGCTGGTAAAGACAAGGTCAAGATCATTTTGAAATAGAGTCAGTCATGCAGCTTGGAAACATGTCCTTTGGTCCAACTGCTCCATGCCAACTAGGTTTCATCTAAACCTTTCCTATCCATTTGCCTGTACCAATGGCTTTCAGATGCTGTAATTGTACCCACCTCTACCACTTCCTCTGGCAGCTTATTCTGTACACCACCCTACGTGTGAGAACTTTGCCTCTTAGGTTTAAGGTGAGAGGCGAAAGATTTAAAAGGGACCCATGCCTTCTAGTTTTGGACTCCCTTACCTTGGCTATTCACCTCATCTATGACCCTCATGATTTTATAAACTTCTACAAGGTTACCCAGCTGCCTCCTACACACCAGGGAGGAAAGTCCCAGCCTATCCAATTGGAGGGTAATGTTGAATGGCAGAGGAAGGTGAACCTTTGGAAATATAAAGTACAGTTTAACGCAGGTATCTATGCTGCACATAGATCAGTCGTTACTGGGATTCTAGTCTCAGTTACCTCTAATGGCGACTGTTTCAATTCTGAACTTTCGATTCACTAGCCCATCTTGGCAACAGAGCATCTGAAAGACTGCTGCATATCATCATTTCTCTAGTCAAGTGCTTGACTTTTTATTAACAAAACTTTTCAATTGTTTATTATTAGTACTTTTGTCACACGTACCTAGGTTCATGTAGAAGTGCATAAGAAATGCATTAGGGTAAGAGGCAGAGAGAGGAATACAATGTTATGGCTGCAGAGAAGGTACACAAAGAGCAAGATCAACATTAAATTTAAAGTTTGACAGGTCCATTCAGAAATCTAAAGACAGCAGGGAAGAATCTGAGATAACAAGGCGTAGAGCTGGATGAACACAGCAGGCCAAGCAGCAGAGGAGCAGGAAAGCTGAAGTTTCGGGCCTAGACCCTTCTTGAATCTGTTGGTACGTGCATTTAATCTTCTGCCTGACGGAAGACGTTGGAACAGATTATAACCAGGGTGGGGAGGGGGACGTGGGGGTGTTGGTCTTCAACTATGTTGGCTACCTTCCCGAAGCAACAGGAGGTGGAGATGGAGTCAGTAGATGGCTTGCCTGACAGACTGGGCCATGTTCACAATTCTAAAGTAGAATGGAGAAGAATTCTTGGGTTTAAGATCAACCCTGCCTGGAGTCCTGCTTTCAGAATTACAGCCACAAATCAGTAGAGTGGTGGGACAACACATTAACCTGCATCGACATGTCTGGAAGGCTAGACTAGATAGAAACCAGTGATCTTGTCCTTAGACTAGATTTCCATTAATCCAGTAACACTAACCGACGTGAAATGCTTGTGGTCTTACCTTCATAAAGCACTCGGAACAGATTTATCTGCAGGAAAAGAAAGAAAAAAAAAGTGTTACTGGATTTACTAAACAAGGAAGCTGAAGCCTACAGTTCAGATCTGTTAACAGATAATGTTCATTACCATTGTAACATAGCACCAAGGCTTTGGGACAAGGGGAGTCAAAACCTCTATTGAATAACACCTCAACTTATGTACATTAAGTAGTAAAGCTTTCTGAATAATGTGGGCGTTATTGCATTATGTGCTTTCCACATCCTTTCAGTGGAAATCAGAAAAGAGGCGGAATAATCTATATATTGAACTATGACATTCAGAAATGATATCACACAGGGGATCTGGAATCTCTTTTCCTTATAACCCCTGTTTAAAAAAAGTCACTAAAATGTATCCAACAATAAAATGTTAATCTAATCCCACCAAGAGAAGGGCAGTGGGAGATTATAGCCTGGCAGCAGACAGTCTCCCTCAACCTGCTTCTACAGGTCAGTGGTAGAGAGTTACAGGAAAACAGGCCCTTGTTTGCAGGATATTTCTTGCATCTCTTCTGATTGGCGAAGTTGTTTAAAATCAGGAAACATTACAGCTGAAGAGGGCAGTTAAGAAATTCACTTAAAATATTTAACAATTAGGATAGAGGTGGCTAGGGAGGCAATGTGTTTCAGCTGCAGTTTGTGGGAGCTGGTGGACACTGATCACGTCTGCAGCGAGCATCAGCTAGTCAAGGATCTTCAGCTCAAATCCGAGATGTGAACATTGTGATATAGCAGGAAGAGTTCTCAGGAGACCATTATACCCCCTTAGATTAATTTCAAATTTGGTCCATGGTCAAGGACAAGAGACTGACTGAGTGAGGAATGTATGGGGATCCAGAATTTGACTTATTCAATAAATACAGGGTTCTTGCTCCCAGTGTGGACAAGGGCAAAGTGATGGGGAAAATGGGCAACCTCAGTGTTATGGAGTGCCATTCAGTCATTGGGAGAGGCCATTGAGAGCAAAATACATATTGCTCTCTTCAAAGATCAAGAGTCCCAAAAGGCTGTGTTGTCAAGATTCAGGACATCTCTCGTGGGTTGGAGAGGAACTTGGAGTGGGAGGGGAAGGACCCAGTTGTCCTGGTCCATGTAGGTACCAATGACCTAGGAAGGATAAGGAGAGAGATTTGGATGAGGAATTATAAACTGCTTGGAGCTAAATTAGAAAGCAGAACCACAAAGACAATAATCTCTGGATTACTACTTTAGCAACATGCAAGCTGGCATGAAATAAATAAGATTGGAGGTAAATGTGAGGCTCAAAGATTAGTAGGTTCTCATTCACTGAACACTGACATCAGTACTGGGCAGAGAGATATCTTTTGGGACTAACTTCACCTGAACAATGGTGGGACCAGAGTCCTGGCTAATCATAATCAGTATAGATTGGGCTTTAAACTAATTAGTGGTGTGGGGTGACATTTAGTTGGAGAGGTTTTAAAAAAATCAGAAGTGAAAGAGCAGGGGTGCAAGGTAGTGAAGAGGTGAATGAAAATCATAGAACAGCAGGAAGGGGCAGAAAATACACGCAGAAGAGTGCAAAAGGAATTAGACACAGAGAGAGTGTAATTACAGTACAAATTCAAAGAGACACTATCTGAATCCATGCAGCATTTGAAACGAGACACTAGTTGACAGCATAATTAGAAATAAACGTATATGACTTGGTGTTATGGAGACATGTTTACAAGCTAACAAAGATTTGGACAGGGTCTTCAACATTTCAAAAGAATAAGCAAAAAGAAAAAAAGGAGGTGGAATAGTTTTGGAATTAAAGGATGTATCATTGCAGCAATACACATGCAATAGATCATGATGTGGAATGAATTTGGGTGGAAATAAGGACTAGCAAGGTTAAGTAGTAACAGGTGGGAATTGTCTATCAGTTCCCTTAAAAAATAGCCTCATTGCATAACAAAGTATAAAGCAGCAAATAATGGAGGCCTGTAAGATGTGCACTAGAATTGCCATGGGGGATTTTAATCTGCATATTAACTGGACAAATCAGATGTTCAAAGGTAACATCAAACCCAAGTTTCCAGATTGTACCAAGAATTGTATCTTAGAACAATATGTTGCAGAATCTACCTGGGAACATGCTATTTTAGAATCATAGAATCCCTACCGTGCAGATAGAGGTCATTCAGTCTGTACCAACCCTCCAAATAGCATCCCACGCAGGCCTAAACCCCTTCACCCTATCCCCATAGCCCAACGTCGATCATGGCTAATCCCTCAGCCTACACATCCCTGGACACTACAGACAATTTAGCATGGCCAATCCACCTAACCTGAGACAACAGGGTGCAGAGCTGGATGAACACAGCAGGTCAAGCAGCATCATAGGAGCAGGAAGGCTGACATTTCGGGCCTAGACCCTTCATCAGAAATGGGGGAGGGGAAGGCGGTTCTGAAATAAATAGGGAGAGAGGGGGAGGCGGATAGAAGATGGATAGAGGGGAAGATAGGTGGAGAGGAAACAGACAGGTCGAAGAGGCGGGAATAGAGCCAGTAAAGGTGAGTGTAGGTGGGGAGGTAGGGAGGACGGACAGGTCAAGGGGGTGGGATGAGGTTAGTAGGTAGGAGATGGGGGTGCGGCTTGAGGTGGGAGGAGGGGATAGGTGGGAGGAAGAACAGGTTAGGGAGGCGGGGACGAGCTGGACTGGTTTTGGGATGCGGTAGGGGGAGGGGAGATTTTGAAGCTTGTGAAATCCACATTGATACCATTGGGCTGCAGGGTTCCGAAGCGGAATGAATTGCTGTTCCTGCAACCTTCGGGTGGCATCGTTGTGGCACTGCAGGAGGCCCAGGATGGACATATCGTCTGAGGAATGGGAGGAGGAGTTGAAATGGTTCGCGATTGGGAGGTGCAGTTGTTTATTGCCAACCGAGCGTAGATGTTCTGCAAAGCGGTCCCCGAGCCTCCGCTTGGTTTCCCTGATGTAGAGGAGGCCACAACGGGTACAGCGGATGCAGTATACCACGTTGGCAGATGTGCAGGTGAACATCTGCTTGATGTGGAAAGTCGTGTGGCCTGGGATGGGGGTGAGGGAGGAGGTATGGGGGCAGGTGTAGCACTTCCTGCGGTTGCAGGGAAAAGTGCCGGGTGTGGTGGGGCTGGAGGGGAGTGTGGAGCGGACAAGGGAGTCACAGAGACAGTGGTCCCTCCGGAAAGCAGATAAGGGTGGGGAGGGAAAAATGTCTTTGGTGGTGGGTTCGGATTGCAGATGGTGGTAACCTGCACATCTTTGGATACTCCAGTTTCTTCCCACAGCCCAGAGGAAACCCACAGACACAGGGAATTCAGTCACCAGAGACTGGAATCAAACCCTGGAGTTAAGGCTGCAGCATTAACCACAGCCATTTTGCCAGTTGCAGATCTAGATTTTAGATCTAGTATTGTGTAATGAGATAGTATTAATACAAGATCTCAGGTTAAGGATCTTCTGGGGGTAACAATTACAGAATTTTAAATTCTGTTTTAGGTGCAGCATGGTGGCCCAGTGATTAGTGTTGCTGCCTCACAGCGCCAGGGACCCGGGTTCGATTCCACCCTTGGGCGGCTGTGTGGAGTTTGCACATTCTGTGTCTGCCTGGATTTCCTCCAGTTTCCTCTCAGTCCAAAGGTGTGCAGGCTAGGTGGATTGGCCATGCTAAATTGCCCAGTGTCCAGGGATGTGTAGATTAGGTGGGTTATTGGGGGTGGGTCGGGGTGGGATGCTCTGTGGGTTGGTGTGGACTTGTTGGGCCAAAGGGTCTGTTTTCACACTGTAGGGATTCTATGAACCTATATCAAAATATTGACATATTGACAAAAAGGACTCAAAGAGAAGGATGAACAGCCTGCGGTTAACGAAAGAAAGGTCAAGAACAGCATCCAAAAACTAAGACACAGAAAAGAGCAGAAACAAATGGCAGGCTAGAAAGGATTGGAATTAATTTCGGAACTAGCAACGGATGACTAAAAACAACTAAGAGGGAGTAATTAGATATGAAAGTAACTTGACAAAAAATATAAAAACAAGCAGTAAGAGCTTCTATGGGACACTAAGAAAGAGACAGTGCAGCAAAAGCAAGTCTGGGACCCTTGAGCGTGCAACTGGAGAAACAGGAAAATATCTTGTACCATCCTCGATGTCTGGAGGACACAACAAACATAAGTTAACAGACATGCTAGGTGCTAATGGGAGAAAAGATCTTGTAACAGTCTCAATCACAAGGGACAAAGCATTTGATAAACTAATGGGACTGAGGCAGACATGTCCCCAGGACCTGATGGTATGTATCCTAGGGATTTAAAGGAAGTGCCTGCAGAGACATTGGAGGCATTGGTCAAAATATTCCAGAGCTCACTGAATTCCAGGAGGGAATCAGCAGGTTGGAAAACCATGAATATGATGTCCTGTTCAAGAGGGGAAGAGACACAGAGCAGGAAACTGCAGGCCAGTTAGTCTCACATCAACTCAAGGAGTCAATATGGCTTTGTGAAAAGGGAAATAGTGTTTGACCAATTTGCGAGATTTCTGAGGATATATCAAACAGAGTTGATAAAGGCCAATCAAATGTTGTGTATTTGAAGTTTAAAAGTATTTGATAAAGTGCCACATAAAAGGTTATTTCACAAGGAACAAGCTCACGGCTTTGAGGTTAACATATTACCATGGATTGAAGATTGGTTAACACACAGAAGAAAGATCTTTTATTATCAGAGATAACAAGGTGTAGAGCTGGATGAACACAGCAGGCCAAGCAGCAGAGGAGCAGGAAAGCTGACGTTTTGGGCCTAGACACTTCTTCAGAAAATTTCCTGAAGGTGGTTCTAGGCCCGAAACGTCAGCTTTCCTGCTCCTCTGATGCTGCTTGGCCTGTGTTCATCCAGCTCTACACCTTGTTATCTCAGATTCTCCAGCATCTGCAGTTCCTACTATCTCTTATTATCAGTCTTTTTCAGGTTGGAAAACAGAGGAGTGACATAAGGATTAGGCCTAGGACCTCAATTAGTTACTATCTATATTAATCACTTGTGGGGTGGGGGCATAGTGTAATGTATCCAAATTTGTTGATTACACAAGTATTTGGAAATGCATATTGCGAGGAGGACATAAGTATTCTGCAAAGGGGATTATAGATTAGTTGAAAGGGCAAAAATTTGGCAGAGAGTTTAATGGGGGAAAATGTGAGGTCACATGCTTTGTTAGTGGGGGGGGGGGGAAAAAAAAAAACAAAAGGCAAATAATTTAAATGGAGACATATGAAGAAAGTACAGCCCAAAGGGGTCTGGGTGTTATTTGTGTTTTTGCACAAAATTTAGCAAGCAGGTGCAGCAAATAATTCAGACAGAAAATGGAATTTTGGCCTCAATTGCGGGCAGGTTTGGAGTTTAGAAAGAGAGAAGTCCTCTTACAATTGTACAAGTTGTTCCCATGCTTAAAAAAATACTGACAATGGAGGCTGTTCAATAGAGATTTACTAGGCTGATTCCAGACATAAAAAGGAGCTGACCTATTAAGCATGGCTAAACAGGTTAGGCCTCTATTCATTAGAGTTTAGAAGAATGGAGGGAGATCTTATTGAAACATACATGATTCTGAGGAGAATCGACACACTAGATGTTAGGAAAATGTTTTCATGAGTGGGGCAATCTTGAACAAGGGAGGAGATGGCTCCAGAATAAGGGGACATTCAATTAAAACTGAGAAGAAGGAATTTCTTCTCCCAAAGGGTAGTGAATATCTGGAATTCTCCATTCCAGTGAGTTGTGGAGGCTAAATCACTGAAAGCATTTGAAGAGAAGTGAGTTAGAGATATCAGAGGGTTGAGGGCTATGATGAGCTGGCACAAAGAGGCATTGAGGCCAAGGATAGATCAGCCATAGCCTTATTCAATGATAGGCTACAGAAAGGTATATTTCTTGACGTTAGAATGAAACAAAATTGTCACAAGTAACAAGGACAGCTAATAGTCTGTGTCCACTAAGTTGGCATGAACAAGAAACCTCTATGTTAAAGAAGAGTTGAGACAAAGACCTCATCCTAAGAAATTAAACTCAACTGAGTGCATTATCTTCCTGATGTATTTGAACATGCACTTTTTGCTGAAGGTGAATCCAAAGATTGTCTGTAAATTTAGATTAGAATTGTCTAATGATGATGATCTTCGATTACTATGCAATCTTGATAGAGCACCCACCATTATAAATGTCACCCAGAATTGATTTGTATCCTCAATATTCATGAATACTGAAAAAGGTATAGCCTTATAATTAATGCCCAAAAAAACCCATAACAGATAACAATGTCCTTGAATTGTTAAGTTAGGTTTCACTGTCCTCATTGGACTGGTTAAATTAGACTAGTTATCTCTGCTACGATAATGTGTAGATTCTATCACAAAGTAATAGAGCTAGATTGAAACCTAAGGAAGAGGACATTTCATTGTCAAGGACCCAGTTTATAGCTAGGAACACTGACCAAGTTCCTTCACCTTACCTGAAACTGAGTTGAGCTATTTTCTAAGCTAGCAATAAATTCAACTATTGGGGTAAAAGATGTCAAACCACTTGCAGCCCCATCCATCCCCTGAAAGAGTCAGACTCCATGTAGGCAGAGCTTTCAATATGGAGATTGACAGATTTTTACTAAGTTTGGTACTAACTTATAAAACATTTATATACATGAGATTGAGGAACTAAGATCTTTGAAGGATGGGATTACTTGATTTATGACATAAACACTTAGACACCCCCAAAAAAACCACGAATATAATTAGCCTTACCTTTTTACAGAAGTGACAAGTCAGAACCCAAACAAAGAAAAGCTCCCTTTGGCAAAAGAAACAGAACTGGAAAACAAATGTTTTCATCGTTAGTCACTTTCAAATCTAGAAATACAGAATACGCTGAAGAAACAGGAAATAGCATTGGATCGTAATAATACATCCCATTGCCTGAAAGTTGTGGAGTCCACCATGGAGACCAGGAAAAATGAACAGTTCAATTTTTGGCCAGAGTGCACTGTCTCAACCTCCTGAGGCTCAGTGTTAGAAACATATTTGCTACCCCGACTTGCCAAAATCAACCCGTAGTTCCCAAAATGGGCCGTGTACAACAACGCACAGTAGTATCAAAAATATTGAATGAATCCCAGAGGAAAAGAGCAATACTTGGGAAATGGAGGCACTGGAGCTCCATTTTGAAGTTGACAAGATGCATGGAACCAGGACCCATTGTTTGAAAGTTTTAATGGCCTTTTCCTTCTGGGATCTCCGGAAATTGATTTAAAAAGTGGAAACATGAAGGGCGATTAGTCTCTGACCCAGAAGATGCATGCTAAACAGAAGATTGTTTACTCTAAGCCCCACCCTGATATAGGCACCCTCCCTCCTCAATGGGGCAGTCTCTATGGATGCTACTAGAATCACTGCAAAGCTATATAGAAAAAAAAACCAGGAGGCTCAGCCCAACTGTGAGCCTTCTCAATGGAGTGTAATCCCATCCTCACTCAACATGCAGCAAAAAGCAGCAGATAAAACCTTAACTCAAATGCACTTCAGTACAAATACCACAAAGTAGAACATTGAATATTACAGTACAGAAACAGGCCCTTTAGCACAACATGTCTGTGCCAGCCATGATTTGTTTTTCTTTATTCGTTCACTGGGATGAGGGTGTCACTAGCCAGGCAGCATTTATTGCCCATCCCTAATTGCCAAGAGGGCAGTTGAGAGTTGACCACATTGCTGTGGGTCTGGAGTCACATATAGGTCAAACCAGATAAGGATGGCAGTTTTCTTCCCTAAAGGACATTAGTGAACCAGATGGGTTTTTCCTCACAATCAGCAACGGATTCACAGTAACCATTAGATTCTTAATTCCAGATATAATGTTGTGGGGCTCTGGATTAACAGTCCAGCAATAAACACTAGGCCATTGCCTCCCATTGCTAAACAAATCCCATCAGCCTGCATATCGTCCATATCCCTCTATTGTCTAAATGCCTCTTAAGTATTGCTAATGTATCTGCTTCTACCACCTGCCCTGGCATTGCGTTCCAGGCATCTATCATCCTCAAAAAAAAAAAAAAAAAACCTGCCTCTCACATCTCAAACTTTCTCCCTCTCACCTTAAACTTTTGCTCCCTAATAGTTGATGTTTCCACACTTGGGGGGGGAAAAAAGACCAACTACCCAACACTATCCATGCCTCTTAATTTTAATCAAAATTTAATCAAAAACAAATCGCCAACACTCCAATCCAGGCAATTTGGATAAACCTGTGAAATACTCTCCAAAGCCTCCACACCCTCCCTATATAGGGTGGCAACTTGAATTACACACTATATTACAAATGTGGCCTAAAGTTTTATACAGCTGCAACATGACTCGCCAATCTTGATACCCAGTGCCCCAATTGATGAAGGCTAGCATGCTTCAAACAAAAACAAACTGCTGGAAAAGCTCAGCAGGTCGGGCAGCATCCAAGAGAAGTCAGAGTTAATGTTTCAGGCTCCTCGGAAGGGTCACCAGACCCAAAACATTATCTGATTTCTCTTCAGAAGCTGCCAGGCCTGCTGAGCTTTTCCAGCAGTTTGTTTTTGTTTCTGATTTACTGCATCTGCAGTTCTTCTGGTTTTTATTTAGGCTAGTGCGCCTTATGCTTTCTTTACCACCTTATCCTCTTGTGTTGCCACTTTCGGGGAGCAACGGACTTGCATCCAAAGATCCCTCTAAATAGAATATCCAAGACTCAGGGGGAAAACGTCAATGAGCTGTTTCAACATCCAATATGTGCAAGTTGCTCAAGACTGGCTCAGTCAATCTTTGCCTACACACCAGGACACATTCCATCAGAGATGCAATTTTATTTAATCATCTAGAATATCCATGGTGATTCTTGAGCCTTTGAAACGTTTAGAAGCATCTATAAAAATATTTGAATACAGACTCCATAGCTGCTAGAGTTTTAGCAGGAGAACGGGGAAAATGAGGCTCTAATTTGACTATATTTGTATCTAGAAATGTGGGCTTCCAGTTCTGTTTCGTCATAAATTGGGCAGATTTGTCTGTCATTTTTGACAGTGAGGGGAAAGAACTGAAGGAGGAAAAACAAGCCATTAACAATGCCCATTTTCATACAAGTCTCCCAAAAGTTCAGGCATGTATTGATATATGTACTCTGTACATATAGTCAGATTGGAGCCTCATTTCCTCATTCTCCTACTAAAATTCTAGCAGTTATGGTGTCTGCATTCAAATATTGTTAAGACATCTTAACATTTCAAAAGCTGTAGGCTCAGAGAGCACCATGGATATTCTAGAGTGCTCACCTGAAATTTTTCTAATAATAGGGACAGATGAAGCCCAACAAATAAATGCAAGGAGCTCAAACTGCAGGTCTGGACTTTTCCAATTACCCACCAATACTCACCTTGTCCTTCACCGTTCTGCGATTTCCCATTTCTCTTTTCGCTATGATCTGACAACTGCACACAAGTTCTTTGATGAAGAGTGAAGAAGAATAATGAAATTCCTCCTGCACAGAGTGAATAAAAGACACCATCAACAAGTCAAACATTTCATGCGTTAACTGTTAAATTTGAGTACAGGAAGTTGCCTCATTTTGAATAGTGCAAAGGGCTAAAAGGCAGTCAACACTGCTTGGTTGTTGTTTTGGGATAGGAACGCTATCCTATTGCCACATCAAAACTACCATCTTTTAATTGAAGCATTTGATTCTCTGTAACCAAATACAGGAGAGAAATTAATGATAAAGGGGTGACAAGCTGAGATGTTACAAACATATAGGTGAACAATCAGTTCAGAATTTCACCACTGCCATCTTTAAGGAGATGTCAGCATTTAAACTATGCAGAAGCGAGAGAAAGCTGTACTTTGAACTGCACCTAGATTAAATTTAGCATTTATGAAGCTCTTAGTTTAATTTTGAGACAAGTTAAAACTATCCCTGTCACCCTTCGTTGGGAATCAATGTGATTTGCATACACTGGTCACTGGCAAAGTTCAAGCAGATGAGGAAAGGCAAATCTACTTATGACAAAAACTTGGTCTGAATTTTATATTTCAGTGACTGGAAGGGTACATTAGTGTAGTCTGTATACTAACTAGATACAAACTGGATCTGTTGTATACAACTGATGCCACATAACATCAAAAGTAGATAGAAATTGAACAATTAAACTTCATAGAAGAAATTAGATTTAAACAGCAAACTTTTTGCACTGTGCTGAAAAGAGTCATGCAGACAAAACTGAAAAACCTGAAGAGTAAACAGAGGCAATCTAACTGGGTCTATTGAAACCCACAATGAAATGTCACAAACGTCATTAGTGTTGAGACATGTAGCTTCTAAGCCTACAGAAATGGTTTGTATGCGAGATGACAAGGATTCAGAAAATGTAGAGGTTTTAAAAGGTAACCAAAGCCCACAAAGTAAATAGTTCTGGAGGTGTCTTTTGGCAGTTTCACATTCCATATTTAGCTCTTTTTCTCAGGAAGAAATCACAGCTCCAACCATAGTATTCAAAGTCTACATAGCTTGGAAAAGACAGATCCCCTCTTTATTTTCACTCTCCAAAGTGGAGATTTATCTTGTGCCCTGGACTGAATTTGGGTTATGATAACCAGTGAGTTTTTTTGCTGTAAATTTCACCGGTAGGCTGATTCAAGGATTGAGTAGGTTTCCACATCAGCTAATTGAGAGAATTGCAAAAGATGACAGCACAAAGAGGTATTTCAGCTGAAATGTATAGGGGACGCGATGGCCTAGTGGTATTGTCACTGGGTCAAAGATCCAGAGACCCAGGTAATGTTCTGGGGACCGAGATTCAAATCCCTTCACAGCAGATTCACAAAGAGGAGTAAAGTCTGGAAATTGCGAGTCTAATGATGACCATGAAGCCATTTGTCAAGTGTTGTTTAAAGACTCACCTGGATCACTAATGTCCTTTAGAGAAATCCTTACTTGCTCTGGTCTACAAGTGACTACTGATCTAGTGCAATAAGATTTCATAGAATCACACAATCCCTATAGTGTGGGAGCAGACCATTCGGTCCACACCAACCATCCAAACAGCAGCACACTGAGCATCCTACCTATCCCTGTAACCCTGCATTTCCAATGCTAATCCACCTAGCCTGGACACTGACGATTTAGCATGGCCAATCCACTTAACCCACATATCTTTGAACTGTGGGAGGAAACCAACAGACACAGAACACGTGTGGAGTTTGCACAGTCACCAGAGGGTGGAATCAAACCCAGGTCCCTGACACTAAGGCAGCAGCATTAACCACTGAGCCACCGTGCCATCATTTGCTTCAAACTGCTGAAAAATCTCAAAAGGACTGAAACCAGACAGGTCACCTGGCATCGACCCAGACACTGGGAATAGTAATGGCAAACAGTTCTGCCAATTCTGTAAAGTCCTTCAGAGCAACCTGGGGTGAGTGCCAACAATAGGAGAGCACTGTCTCAGACTAGCCAAGCTACAGCCTGACACTGTCTACAAGGTATAATTCCGTGAGTATGACTATGTCCCAGGCACCACCATCACCATCCCTGGATATGTCCTGTCCCATTGGCAGGGCAGAGCCAGCAGAGGTGGCATCACAGTGGTATGCAGTCAGGAAGGAGTTGCTCTGGGTACTCAACATTGACTCTGGACCCCATGAAGTCTCATGAATAAGGAAACTTCCTGTTGATTACTACATACAGATCTCCCTCAGCTGATGAATCTGTACTCCTCCACATTGAAGAGTTAGGAGGAAGCACCAAGGATGGCAAGTGTACAAAACACACTCTGGGTGGGGGATTTCAATGTCCATCACCAAACGCGACTTGCCAGCAGCACTAATGGAGCTGGTCAGGTCCTGCAAGACATAGTTGGTAGACTGGGTCTGTGACAGGTGGTGAGGGAACCAAAAGGGAAAAACATACTTGACTTCTTCCTCACTAGTGCGCCAGCTGCAGATGCATCTTTCCATGACAGTATCAGTTAAGAGCGACCACTGCACAGTCCTTGGGGAGACAAAGCCCTGCGTTCACATTGAGAATATGTTCCATGTTGTGGGGCACTATCACCATGCTAAAATGGGACAGACTTTTACTAGATCTAGCAACCCAAGACTGGGTATCCATAAGACATGGTGGGCCATCAACAGCAGAGTTGTACTCCAGCACAGTCTGTAAGCTCATGGCCTGGTATATCCCCCACTAAGCCATTACCATCAAGCCAGAGGATCAACTCTGGTTCAATGGAGCATGCAGGACAGCACCAAACATTCCTAAAGCCAAGGTGCCAACCTGAAACAGCAAACAGGGCTACTTGTGTATCAAACAGCATAAGCGGCAAGTGATAGAGCTAAACAAACCCACAACCAACAGATCAGATTGAAGCTCTGCACTCCTGTCACATCCAGTTGCGAATGGTGCTGGATGATTAAACAACTCATCAAGGAGGGGGCAGATCCATAGATATCCCCCAGCCTCAATGATGGGACAACCCAACAGTGTAAACAATAAGGCTGAAGCATTTGCAGCAATCTTCAGCCAGAAGTGCTGAGTGGATGATCTATCTCGGTCTCTCCGGTGGTCCCTAGCATCACAGATATCAGTCTTCAGCCAATGCTATTCACTCCATATGATAAAGAAATAGTTGCAAACACTGGATATTGCAAAGGCTACAAGCCCAGACAGCATTCTCGCAATAGTACTGAAGAGCTGTGCTTTAGAACCTGCCCCTCCCCTAGCCAAGCTCTTCTAGTACAGTTACACACTGGCATCTACCAACGTGGAAAATTGCCCAGGTATGGCCCGTACACAAAAAGCAGGACAAATCCAATCCAGACAATTACTGCCCCAGTCTACTCTCAATCATCTGAGAAAGTGAAAATGATGGAAAGTGTCATCATCAGTATTATCATGCAGCACCTGCTCAGCTCCTGTCCTCATTACAGCCTTGGTTTAAACATGGACAAAACAGATGAATTCCAGAAATGACGAGAGAGTGACACTCCTTGATTGATCAAGTCTAGCACCAAGGAACATAAGGAAAACTGGAGTCAGAATTGGGGCCTGCAAGGGGGAGGGGGGGCGAGATTCACACACACATTCACACTCCCCTTCACCCCTCACCACCTCTTACTAGTTTAATTCACACTTGATTGTTACTACACTTTCTCTTTCAAAGAAGTCGCTTCATAGAAATGTCCAGACTACTTGAAATTTTGGGTGACAATTCCCCATTCAGATCATCCTCCAATAACCTTGAATGCTCCCGAATTGGAATGGCTCTATTTTGGGAAAAAAAAAAATCACTTCATTTTAGCTGTCCAAAATCTCTGATCAGATCACTTCCTCTACTCTGTTTCACAGAAATGCTTTCCAAAGAGTTAATCACAGAGCAAAGTGATCATTTTTATGCTGTATGCACATTCCCTTAGTCATTTTAATGCCAACGTCTTGATAGGGCCGAGGAGACATTAAAGGCACAAACGTAAGCCAGACTTAAACAAACTTCTGAGGAACCAGAAGAAAATTCTATTATGCATATCTCTCCTCTACGGTTTGTGATTGATGCAGCAAGCTCTTAACCTCTTGACCATGTTGATCAATATTGACACTGATATAACACATTGCAGAGATTTGCAAGTCCCAGGGGAAATTCAGAACCCAATAAACTCATTTATTTTGCATTGTTGGAAAGCAAATGGATATTATTGCTGGCAGCAACTTACAATTTCCACGTATTCATAACCCATGCACAAGGCCTTGCTCATCCATGTGGGAAATTGGAATTTATATTTGTTGATGGAGTCCCACAGGAGGCTGGTTGTATCCATCCCAGATGAAGGCTTTGTTGATACCTGTTCTATAGGCATATCTAGAAAATAAGAGCATCATTCAAAAAAATCTAAAATTCTTTAGATTTGTGTGCTGTGTGTCCAACAAATTAGCTGAAATTTTTAAAGTCATACTGACAATCTGCTAAGTCCAGTCAACGCCCAAATTCTTACCAATAGCAGCAGCAGAAAGGACATGATTGGAATAGGTAATCCATTACGTTCCTCACTCAACCAAACTTCCAAGTAAAATAACAGTTACAAGAAAAGGGTTTCCCATTCTTTTGCATATTGTAGAATTACCCCTATTCTTTCATTCCAATGATGACAGGATAACTGTGTTGGGAATGCATATCCTGGGATTTGTGCCTTTCCCCTCAGAGGCAAGTAATGAGTCTATACTCAGTTATGGTCAGAGCAGAATTACCGAATTTTTCTGGCCACTATTCCACAGGAAGGTTATGCAAGTCTTGTGGGCAGACTAGACAACTAAACCAATTCTGAATTTACAGTTGAAGAGTATGGGATCTTTTGTTTACAAACAAAAAAAACAGAAAATTGCATTTTATTGAGGTATTAAAAGTTATAGCAAGATAAATTAATATCTGACATGCTAGAAATGAGAAAAGCATTTAAGTACACCAGATGAGCTGAGCTATTTTACACCAAGGGTAGATGATGTCTTTAGGGACAGATGGGTGGAGAATTGGACAGTCCTTGAAGAGTGGAAGTCACCAGGAGGCATTATATTTTACAACCAGGCTTAACTACAGCGTTGACCAGCCATGCCAGTCAAGAGCATTAGGCATCAAGATATAGGAGCAGATTTAAGTCATTTGGGCCATCAGTTCTGCCCCATTATTCAATCTGGTGAATACGTGGCTGATAGGTTTCTTAGCCCTGTTCTCCTGCCTTTGTTCCATAACCCTTGGACCCAGTTACTAAACAGGAACCTATCTCTCTCAAAGATACTCAATGACTTGCCCTCCACAGATTCACCAGCCTAGAGGTGAAGAAAGTCCTCATCTCAGTTACAAAGAGTTGCCCCTTCCCTGAGGCTATACCCTTGGGTCCTAATCTCTCCTAGTGGAAAGATCTCCACATCCACTGTACCTACACCTCTCAGTATTCTGCAAGTTTCAATCAGATCTACCCATCCCCATCCTTCTAAACTCCATCAAGTACAGACCCAGAGTCTTCAACTGCTTCTCATATGACAAGCCCTTCAGTCCCATCATGTCTGTGAACGTCCACTAGATGCCCTGTCCCTGCAACACCAGCACATCCTTCCTTAGATACAGGGCCCAAAAAACTGCTCAAATGTTCCAAAAGCAGCTCAACAGTTTATCCCTGCTCTTTAATTCTAGCCCTCAAAACGAATGCCTTCCAAACTGCCAACTGAAGCTGCATGGTAACCTTAGAAGTCTGTGTTCAGGATTCTCTTAACTCCCTTTGTGCTTCAGATTTCTGAAGCCTTTCCCATTAAAAGAAATAGTCTATGCCTCTATTCTTCCTAGAAAAGTGCATTACCTCACATTCCCTCATTAAATTCCATTTGCCACTTCTTTGTCCACTCTCCTGTGCTATCCAAGTCCTTCTGCACCTTTCCTACTTCCTCAACACTATCTGCCCATTCACCGTTGGGTCACCTGCAAACTTAGCAATGCCCTCAGTTCCTTCGCCCAGATTATTTATATATGACGTGAATAGTTCTGGTCCTAACACTGACCCCTGGTAACTAGTTGAGTTCCACACTGCCATCCTGAAAGAGACCTTTTTCCTCCCTACTCTATACCAGGCAGCCCATCCTAGCCATGCCAGTACCTTGCCCCTAACATCATAGGTTCTTATCTTTTTTAGCAGCCTCCTATGTGGCACCTTGTCAAAGGCCTTCTGGAAATCCAAGTGGATCATGTCCACCAACTCCTCCATCTAATTTGCTCATTAGCTCCTCAAAGAATTCTAACAAATTTTTCAGGCCTGACCTCCCCTTGACCAAGCCATGCTAACTCAGTCCTATTTTACTCTGCACTTCCATGTACTCCGCAATCTCATCCTTAATTATGGAGTCTAAAATATTACCAATGACTGAGGTCATGCTAACAGGCCTATAGTCCATCTTCTGCCTCCCCCTTTCCTAAACAGGCACGTTACATTACCCATTTTACAGTCCTTTGGGACCCTCCCTGATTCCAGAAAGATCACCAATGCCTCTACAATCTCCTTCAGAACCTTAGGGTTTAGTACATCTGGTCTGGGTGATTTACTTGCCTTCCGCTTCCCCAGCGCCATCTCCATAGTGATGGCCACTACTCCCCCCTCGGTCTCTTGATTCTTGAAGTTCTGCTACATTACTGGTGTCTTCCACCATGAAGACTGATGCAAAGTATCTATTCACTTCCTACACCATTTTTTGTTCTGCATTACTACTTCTCCAGCCTCATTTTCCAGTGATCTAGTGTCCACTCTTGCCTCTCAGCTTTTATAATCTAAAACAAAAACTTGCAATTTTTTGCCTAGCTAGCTTGCCCTCATTTCACCTTCTCCCACAATATTGCTTTTTTTGGTTGTCTTCTGTCGGTTTTTAAAAGGCTTCCCACTAATCTACACTACCCTAGACAAACATTCAGTTTTGTGCACTCCCCCAGTCAACTTTTAAAAGTGATTGTGCAGTATGAATAAAAATTCTGCAATTTGTCTTATATCACACATTCTTTTTGTAGTATAGTTTCCATGGGGTCCACACTGGAAGATTTGTGTAATATGGCTTATACCGTACTGTTACTTGATTTTATGCACAATTTACAAAATCAATAATTACAATCAAATGGGTGAGATCAAATTGCCCTTTGGTATTTACCAGGCCTTGCAGTTTTGGAAGTTTGGTGCTGATATAAAAATTCGTAAAATTGTTGCATATCAGAATGAGGGCCACGATGACATTTTGGGTAAAACTGCATTGTAAAATATGTGGAAAGTTAACTGTAGATCATTAGACCCAATCCTTCCACAAACTGCTAAAGCCTCTTTGCTGTTTCAGGTTTCTTCTCTAAACCAACAGCCGCACAGTTGTACCGTTGAACTACAGAAAGTCAAGGATGGCCAGTGCACACTTTACGACCGCACCTTGGCTTATATGGGTCACATGACTAATGGATGAATGATTTGCCAAACGGACACCAAGAGACAGGATTTGGAGTTTCCAAACTAGGCAGAGGGTAATAACAAATTCATACCAACAAGGATCAGTTGCCAGGAAAAGCTAAAGTATAGCAGGTGCCAGACCAGAGTGTGACAAATTCAGGAGGTACAACCTGTAGATCAATGTTTAGTTTCAAATGCACCTTTATTTTGCCTCTCTGGTCTCAGTAATTACACCAGCCCAGAATCCTGTACTGTGTTCATTTAGCATCATCTGAAACCCTTTTAACAACAGGGATGGTGCACGTCTCCTCCCCCAGACCCTCCCACCACAAAACTGAAACTTACTCCTACTTTGTCTCTTGTAGGCTGCCTCTGACGATGGCTCTCTCTCTTCATTCGCATCGCATGCCTGCTCAGAGGCCAAGAGATCTGCCTGGAAACAGACAAAACCAAGTCAGCACAGAGAAAACTAACCACAAACTCTGGTCTGCCAAAGAAACTAAGAGGAAGACATTTAGTTTGCACTAAGTATAGGCAGGCCAAAAACAGCTGCTCACCAGTTTTTAAAAACTGCAAGGTGTAACAACGAGATTGTGACAGACTGTTGTTTAACTTAATATAACAGATAACCTTTTCCTACCTACACTGTCGATGGCTCATGTGAAATCTATTTTCAGGTGATTTTACCCAAGGGCTGGCAAAATGGCGGCAAAATGGAAAAAAAAAAATCAGCCATACCACAGAGTTAGTGCCACCTTTCCCTTTTCCAATACAAGAGCCAGCAGTGGTTTTTCACCCCACAGTCACGGGGAGGTATGGTTATCACAAACATAAACAGAAGTTACTGGAGAAACTCAGCAGGTCTGACATATTCTGTGGAGAGAAAACAACATTGAGTGTTGTTCAGAACAGTGACGCATCAGTGAACCCAAAACATTAACTCATCTCTCCATGGACACTGCCAGAACTGTTGAGTTTATCCAGCCATTTCTGTTCTTGTTTCATATTTCCAGCATCCACAGTTCTTTCATTTGTTTTCGTGTATGATAATTACATAGTGGAAAATGCATTGAACAAGTGTCAAAACCAGCATGTTCTATGCTGCTACAGTTGTCCCAATGGAGTATGCTACTCCATAACACCAATCTGAACCATTGTCCCTTCATAGTTGCTATGAAGCATGGGATATTAGATGTCTATACGGCACCTGCCTAGAGTTGGCTCAAATCTTATCTTTGAGAAAGAGTAACACTCCCTCTCTGCAAGTCCTATCAACTCTATCTACATTCTAATATAGAGAACACTGTCTGGATTTTGTGAACCAGACAGTCATTATTCCAGTGTGGAATGGGAATTGTGTGTGGGGACCCTGTGGAATCCCCATCTGAAGGAATTGCTTGGGAATTGAAGATTCTGCTGAGAAATTCCTGTACGCTAGAAGTCTCCAAAAGTGTCCATTTAAATCAAAGAATTCAGAGGGTTCTACTGCAGTTAGTTACCTCGGAACAGAGACAATTAAATACCTCAAACTCCTGACTAGCTATTAAACTGACCTCCAACTTACACCACACCCTCAACTACACCTTCACGAGATCCTGATCCAAATTACTCTTCTGCCCAATCTTCGCTAGAAATCTCTCTCTGACCCACCATGATCAACTGTGTACACTTATCTGGTGCTCTGCCCACTCAGTGCCCTACTTACTCAGCATCCTACCTCTAACCTGACCTTGTATACTTACTGGTTAACAGGAACTGTTAAAGTGGCCATATGTCATGCTGAACCTCAACCTCAAAACAGCAGCTCTTTGCAAAAGGGGCCATGATTTGCTCTGTATTGAGGGGGACCCATCAGAGTGAAAGGACAACCCTGCAGGGAACCTTCTGATGGAAGTGTGAGCTCTTTCATTGTAGAAGAAAGGCAGCAAAATGACAATCTGCCTGCAATGATGCCTCCTCAGCTTACTCAGTCATGATTATAATCTCTCAGTCCTAATAACGTGCAACTGTGGATATTGGAACAGCATCACGTACATTATGAACATCCTCATTTCACATCAAACTGCAACAAATGCAGTTTCTCAGAAAAACAAATTGGTTTCTTCCACTTTGGAGATATATCCTCTCTCCTCCAGATCAAAACTCAAGCGGAATTACAGAACTCCTACTTGGTAAGCTGTAAACTCAAACACTTGTTTGATCATAGTCTCAAAATTGATTTGGACTGGAACACACAAACATCACCAGTTTCAAAGCTCAGGTGTCTACCGGATTCTGTCCACTCGTTTCTACTAATGCAAGATACAACCTTAAATATAGGCACAACCAATTGTATGTGCCAAAATTTTAGATCCAACACTCAGTCAATATTCATTCAGTTCTGGCTACAGGAACTATACTGTTATCATTGCATTTCACCTACATGTCAAGTTGTGCCAAGTGTTTAAGGATATCTGTATAAAACAGCACAGTTCACTCACTGAAATGATTGCAACATACATGCCCCATGTCTTCTTCACAACTGTGCAATTTAGACTTTAAGAAAAATGTTAAGGTAAAATACTTCCTAATTATTGGGACTGCATATGTCCTTCCCCAATACTGTTGAACCCTTCGTTCTCACCCACTGTTCAGCATAGAATCTAACTTGAAGAAATTGATTTTAGTTACAATACACTGTGGTCTGAATACTGAACAGTTAGGTGAAATTAGCAGAATGACAATCATTAGTTTATACAATTGCTCAATAATCTTACCGAAAGGCAATTCAATGCAACATCAATTCTTCAATTGAAGTGGCTGCAGTGATCATCCACATGAAAGGCCCAAGCACAAAGCCAACCATACAACACTGTAGTAGATCCTGAATCTACATCTATAGATCCTACCTCAGATTCCAAATGCGTGAATTCTGCTGTTTTGTCTTCGTGCTTGCCTTGGGGTTTCTCACGTGTCAATGACCCAGTCTGCACTAAACGGTCTGCTGAGGAAAGGGGACACGTTAGAAGACTGAAACTAAATGTCGCATTTAACTCAAACACTAACCATTTCATCCAATTGATCACCAGCAAGCCAGCTTTTTCAGGCTCTTTGGGAGACCTAGTTTTGCAACAACTGGTGGTGCAGACAGCCTGTGTGGAGAATCATCAATAAAAGAACATGAAAACATCAAGAAGCTGAGACAACTTTTACAGTTCAATACCAGCCTAACCACTATTCTAGTCTTTCCAAGGCTGTTAAGTGCCTCAGTTTCATGAGTTGCCTCATTTAATTATTTGGATGCTGATGTACTTTATGGTGCTGGAAACTGTGGTTGTGGAAAACAATTTTAAAAATTAAAATTAAATAATATTTTTAAAATGTGTTCATTAGATCAGATCATTTCTAGTGAGGTCAGCAGCTTTGCTCATCCACAATTGTTTTGGAAGTGATGGTAGTGAGCACCTTTTTTAAATGCCAGGGTCCATTTCATTACAGGTACACCCCCCCGCAATGTTTTTATTTATAGAAAGGGAGGAAATGCCAGGATTTCCACCCAGCAATGAAGGGACATCCATATTGTTCCAATTTAGGATGAAGTGCAGCTTGGAGGGAACTTCATGCATTTATTTTCTCAAAGGAAAGGCTGTTGTTGTGTGGTTTTATATCCATGGTGTTTGGTGCTCAGTTTTCAGATTGGTAAGATGACAAGGTCAAGAACTGTCCAGTAAGGAGGCTTCTTTAGAATTGAATGGATTGTAGAAACACTCATACACAATCCGAGCTATACTGGACTCTATTCTCTACACTAGAATATTGAAATAATACTCTACAGATGCTGTCTACAAGTCTTGTGCACAGTCTGTCTAACTCCATCCACTGTGCTATTTACGCCCATCTTCATGATATCTTTGCAAGGTTGCCCTAGGGTCCTAAAGCCCTTACGCAGCACAGTGGCTCAGTGGTTAGCACTGCTGTCTCAGCGCCAGGGACCCGGGTTCAATTCCAGCCTCGGGCGACTGTCTGTCTGTGTGGAGTTTGCACATTCTCCGTGTCTGCATGGATTTCCTCTGGGTGCTCCAGTTTCCTCCCACAGTCCAAAGATGTGCAGGGTAGGTGGATTGGCCATGCTCAATTGCCCGTAGTGTTCGGGAATGTGTAGATTAGGTGGGATGCTCTGAGGGTCAGCATGGATTTGTTGGGCTGGAGGGCCTGTTTCCACACTGTAGGGATCCTATGAAAACCAGGGCAGCGGAGGTAACAAAAACAAGTTGCTGGAAAAGCTCAGCCGGTCTGGCAGCACCTGTGAAGAAAAAAAAAAAAAAAAAAATCAAAAAAGAGTTAAACATGTCGGCTCCTCAGGACCCAAAACGTTAACTCTGGATTTTTTCTTCACAGATGCTGCCAGACCTGTTGAGCTTTTCCAGCAACTTGTTTTAGTTCCTGACTTACAGCATCCCCAGTTCTTTTCATTTTTATTAGGGCAGAGGTGCCAGGTTTGCAAGATGCTGTTGAAGGGTTCTTAACAATTTACTGCAATTTATCTTGTATATGTGCAGTGCTGATGCTGAATGTCAGTGGTACAGGGTGAATGTTGGTGGTGATGAATGGGGTGCTGCTCAAGCAGTCTGCCATGACTTGGCTTGTGGTAATAGAACTTCCCATAGCCAGGCAAATGGGGAGCATTCTGTTACATTCCTGACTTGTGCTTTGTAGATGGTGAACAGGCTTTGGGGAGTCATGTGGTGAGTTAGTTGCTGCAAAATTCCTAGCCACTGACTTGCTGTAGTAGCCAAAAGTGTTTAAGTGGCTAGCCCAGTTAAGTTTGTCAATGGTAACTTCCAGGATATTCATGTTTGGAGCGGTTTCAGTCATAATAATATTGAACATCAAGGGGAAGTGATGAAATTCTCTTTAGTTGGAGAATATTACATGCCACTTACCAGCCCAAAACTTATTAGATATGGATACTAACACATTATTTGAGGTTCAAATGGTATTGCACATTTAGGATCAACTGAGTCATTGACCTTTAATCCTTAACACTCCAACACAAACAGAGTTGGGCATTATACTGAGACAATGCAAGTCATTTTGCATTTTTGGGGCAATTGATGAACAACCACCTCCTGGTTCTGCATTTGCTACTGAAACAGAGGCAAGATGTATTATTGAGACCAGCTCCCAAAGCTTTGAAACCAGGGTGTGCTTATCAAAGCTTTAGCAGGCATTCAATCCATCACGAGGAAATAGAAACATCTGATTAGTATTGATAAAGTTGTACTTTTCTGGCAAACATTTCACATGGACTGAAATAGATACAATGATATGAGAGATAGTAGGAACTGCAGATGCTGGAGAATCCGAGACAACAAGGTGCAGAGCTAGATGAACACAGCAGGCCAAGCAGCATCATAGGAGCAGAAAGGCTGACATTTCGGGCCTAGACCCTTCATCATTTCTGAAGGATCTAGGCCCGAAACGTCAGTCTTACTGCTCCTATGCTACAGCTTGGCCTGCTGTGTTCATCCAGCTCTGCACCTTGTTGTCTTAGATACAATGATAGATTGTTTGTAAAAGACATAACCTGTAGCAAGGGTAATCATTTTTTCTTTTGCTTGCAGACCTTATTTGAAGTCACAAATCAAACAAACAAGTACATCCCTTTAAAAAGCTCTTGATATTCAGAAACAAACAGCAGCAAAAGTCTTCAACACAGAAAATGCTGGCAAAACACAGGAGATCTGACAGCATTAGCAGGGCAGAAACAGTTAACATTTTAATTCTGATGGGACTCTTTCTGAAGAAGTTGAAGCACAACAACTCAAAATGTTAATTCTGTTTCTCTCTCCACAGATGCTGAGTTTCTGCAGTGCTCTGTGTTTCAGATTTCCAGTGTCCACATTATTTCTGTTGTTAAGTCCAGCCGGAATGTTTACATGGAGTTTTGCAACAGTCAAGGGTTTTAAACCCATGCACTCATGTTTTGTACAAGTTACCTGGTTCTGAAGATATTGGCTGTAGCTTTTTAACAGCTGACTGTATCTCCTTCATCAGCATCTCATGCAGAGATGGGGGGGCAACAGGCAAGTCCCTTAGTTTCCTTGCAGCCGCCTAAATTTAGGAGTAAAACAATGAGCAAAAGAACAGTTTGAACAATATGTAATCAGGCAGCGTTTCAATGCAAAAGCTGGACTTCAGTAGGTTTCCTATTGATTGAGCAATTTGAGTTTTCACCCCTCACTTTTGCAAACTATTTCAAAGAAAGTGCTATTACATGCAATGAAAGTCATAGATAGCTTCAGTGTTACAAATATTGACTTAAGATTCATAGCAAATTAACTTATACATCTGTGGACGAGTCAGGGTGGATTGGTCAAGTTACATTGTCCCATAGTGCCCAGACCCAGGTGGATTAGCCATGGGAAATGCAGGGTTACGGGGACAGGGTGGAAGGGTTGTGGATCCGAGTGCGATGCTCTTCAGAGGGTCAGTGTGGACTCTATTGTCTGAATGGCCTGTTTCTACACTATAGAGATTCTATGAAGACAAACTATTGCATAGTGAACCCCATTGGCCCTTGGCTGAAAGTTGGATATGCAACTACAAGACAAGGAATTGTCCAGCTATGCAGCTATTGCCTTTCCGTACTGGCCAATACTTCCATCCACTTCAAACTCTATCCAACTGTGGGGGCATAACTTCCTCTGCACAACTCCAACAAATTTGGAGCACACAGCCTACTACACCAGCAAGAGATCAACATCCTCATCCTTCTTAAATGCTAGAGACCTGACAATTGACTTCAGGACCAGTTTTATGTTTAGAGTGGAATGCAGTCAAACCATTCTTACGGGCTTCAACAAAGACCTCAAGAGGCTAAAATCCACCGAGACAGCAGATGGAGTTCTGGGTTCATTGTTGTTGACCTGAAAAATAGAACAGGCAAGGTTGACTTTGGAAGAGTCTTCATCCTTGCGGCCAGATGTTTATTTAAAAAGACCTCCTTCACTCCTCAAACAAAACTGCAGTTTTTAAAGTAAAAGCACAAAGAATATTTAGCCAACATTAAGCTGAAAGTGTATTCATTTCAAAATGTAACAAGATCTAAATTTCTGAGGTAGGATGTGGAAGAAATGTTCGGAGCATTGCAGAGACACCATTGTACAAAGTCGCATTTCTCTCCTGCTATTTACAAACCTGGTAAATGCATTGGATGGAGTGAAAATCCTATTGTCCAATCCAAGCCGTACTGGCAAAGAGTATGGAGTCAAAAGAAATTGGAACAGGAGGATTGTTGTTTAATCCAGAGATAATACTACACACTATTTTACCACCACAAAAATGGTTACTAAAGTAGAAGAACAGTTTACAAACACAGCCCATCATGGACAATACAACAAAAGTGTGAAGGAAAGATGAGAGACAGAAGGGGAAGGATCGACATAACAAGGCAGTTAAAAAAAACTGCATCCAGACCCCGTTAATCGATCTACTTAATGAATGGTTCAGGCAAGCCACACTTGCTCATAAACAGAAACCTGCTCTTTTAAATTCCATTCATGGAAGACCGTGGCTGAACATTTATCAGACAAGTGCCAAATAAAGGAGTTGACCAATAAATTTGAAGTGGAAAATGCAGTGTAAGGAGTACATGGATGTCTATTCAATTGATGACACCCAATGGAAAAGGGTTGCCAAACTGAATACCTGCCTCTATTATAACGTCAATTTTTTTAAAAATCACCAGTTACATATATCTTCACAAGTGAAGTAATCTGTTCCCAAACCAGACCATACCACTGTATCTTGGCAAAGGTCACCTCAACCTGGGCTAAATGATCCTTCATCTCCTCAACTCCCATTTGTAAAAGTTTGTGTCTGAATTCCCAGCACAGATCAGTGTGACACTGAAGAACAAGAATGCTGAACATTTCCATCCAATCACATCTGTCAATTTGAAGCTCTTATGAAATGAGCTGAATGGCAGGAAACAGTAGGGATAATAAACAGTTACTCTGGTGATTCCTGCTGTTTCATGAGGACCTCTGGTCAACTATTGAACCACTTTCAGAAGTTTGCTAGGGACATAAGGATGGGCAGCACTGCAAGCCTATATTCTTATTGTGGTGCTACGTTATATCTTCTAACTAACCTGTTCGGAGATGTTATTACAACTTCTGCAGCAGACAGGACTTGAACCCAGCTCTCCTGGCTCAGAGATAAGGACATGACCGCTGCACCACAAGAGCCCCTATTATGGTGTTATTCACTCAATGAGTTGTGGTCAAATCCTGTACCTATTTTATCGTACATCAGTGGCTGGAGTTTCAATATTTTGAAATGGCTAACATTCCGTCACTATAGCCAAGTCATTGGGCAACATGTTGGCTCAGTGGTAAGCCCTGCAGCCTCTCAGCACCAGGGGGTCGGGTTCTATTCCGCCCTCGGGTGTCTGTGTGGTGTTTGCACGTTCTCCCAGAGTCTGCGTGGGTGTCCTCTGGGTGCTCCGGTTTCCTCCCACAGTCCAAAGATGTGCACGCTAGGTGGATTGGCCATGCTAAATTGCCCGTAATGTTCAGGGATATGTAGATTAGGTGGGTAATAGGGGGATGAGTCTGGGTAGGATGCTCTGAGGGTCGGTGTGGACTTGTTGGGCCGAAGGGCCTGTTTCCACACTGTAGGGATTCTAAGACTTCTAAGATATGGTCATCTTAAATAAACCAGGAAATTTATGAATCTAGAGCAACTCACTACCTCCTTCAAGAGCACCTAGGGATGGGCAATAAATGCTGGCCAGCCAGCAACACCCATGACCCATGAGTGGATTAAAAAGTTTAGACATTTGTGTTAGAATTCACAGCCAATTTTGCTCTTTGCCTGGAAAGAGTAGGTATAGATGTTTACTGGAAGCAGAAAACAATTGAAATATTGCTAAATAATTTGTGTGGTCTGTAAATGTCAGTGTAATCCAATTGGTCACTAACTTAGAGCACAGGCCATGCAATGACTAATATGCTGCCAAGGAAAACCAAAAATTGCAGGAAAAAAGGTAGTGAGAAAAAAAATTGACAAATGATCCTGATTTGTTCTGCTTTTTTGATGAATTGCATTCAGTCTGAATGCATTTTACTCCCATTTGCCGGTCAGACAGTAAATCATGCTCAGCAGGAGCAATGCAAATTGTTATTTCCCACCGAGCACAAACCAAAAAGCTGGAACACAATTTTCAACAATTCTCTTGCACCCCTAGCAAAAAAAAAAACTCACCTTAACCTTGCGAAGGATATATCGCTTGTACTTAATGTCATCCAGCATTTCATTAAATGGAGAGAGTTTGGGCTTTATTGCAAGTGGATTGTAATGGCGCTCACATATATTCCTTAACCTCACACCTCTTTGCACTTCTTTCATCAACTGGAACCAAGTACGATTCTAGAGGAAAAGAAATACAGACTTTTGATTATGTAAGGAGCATGAAAAACATTCAAGCATCAGCCTACATATGTAATGTGATGCAAGCTCAAACATTAAAACATACAGGAGTTTGAAAATGAGCAATGGTATTAACTAGGACCTATCCTCTAGTTAGCTGATGTAAATATTTTGGTATTGAATCTGTTTAATTTGAAAGCAATCACTGCTTTTATAACACCAAATTGGAGGTACAGCTTAAAGCTTTGCAATTGTAATTGACACAAATCTCTCAACTAATTTAAAGCAAACAGACTTGAAGTTAATGAAAATTCAGATTTTGTGGAGCTTTCAGCCATTAATTGGCACTGTACAAAAATAATACTTGATCAGACTTTCAATATCCACATGTTGCAAAGCTATTGTACATTTGGATTGAAAGGTTTTGAAAACAAGTGCACCAAGGCTTCTTTGACTAGAAGAGACTTGCACAGGTGTGTCAAGGGATGTATTTATTCCTGTCCTGAAGTTCAATTTGACTAAGAAATAGAGAACTGTAGGGTGCAGAATGAGGAAGAAAGAGACGATCCTAGCTCAGTCATCATGATTAATTCAGTCTGGAGAGCCAGGAGCTAAAAGCTAAAACAAATGAGCCAATTTCTCCCAGCTTGTTTTTTTTTTTTAAAACTGGACAAGACAGACACCTTCACTAATACTCCCAAACATCTCAAAAACTCCTGTGATTCACTGACTTTTGAGGAAAATCTCAAAAACTGTTAAGTGCTTTGTGACATGACTAGCAAGTAGGTATTTTTGGTTCAGGCAGATGTGATTGTAAAGTGTGCAAAGAAATTCCTGTTCTTCAAATACACAATCATGCAATGTTTAAGTGCTCACCAGAACAGAGATAGGATCAAAGGGTGGCATCTGCATGCAACATAGCACTCAATACAACACTGAGGGTAATAACCAGTTTTATAGCTCGGTGAGGCTCAACTATAAAACCTGACAGACATCAGTGCTACCAACGGAGACAAACTGACCAGGGAAAGAGAAGCATCCTGACATGTTATTTTCAACGAGTAATGAACAAAATTTTGAATCTGGTGGACTGAGCAATTACATTGTTGTACAAACGAGAAGATCTTACCCAGTGAACAATCTCTGAGCTTGTATTTTCAATTGGCTCATCCTCCAGTAGCTTGTTCAGAGTCTGCAAGATTTAACATACAAAATGACAACGTAGAATCCTCACTGGACTTGCCAACACTGGATTAAAACCAATTAACTTAATGCCACAATCGCACAAAATTCATGAAAACTGAATAAGGAGTCCAACAATGACTAACATTTACAAAGTCAAAAGCTGTGAAGTTGGAAAAGGACATCATTGAATTGACAGAAGCAATTCTTTACATCTCACAATGAAGAGGATGTAGGTTTGCCCAATCTTGATTAATGATCACTGGGGAACTTCAATGTTGATCTGATAAAGATTTTAGAGCAATTTCAAACAATAAAATGACATCTGTGTACACAGTTGTTAAAAATACAAAATAATCTTGGAGAGCTTCCAAGCCTGAAACCTGGAAGAGAAAAGCGGTGGCACAGAGGTAAGGATACTGAACAAGTACTTAAATGGATTCCAACAAGGTGTAATGCAGAACTGAACCTATTGAATTTACAAGTCTAGGTGTGAACAGGAATATAACAACCATGAACAGATTTAATAAGTGCCCTCATCTTATTGGGGAATACAATTGATCCATCTGACATGCAAGTACAAGTAGTCAATATTTTAAAACAATTAAAGTGAAAATTGAATTTTTGAGTTAAGACTCTAGATTCTTTTTCTCTCTGTTGCTGAGAAATAGCTGAAGCTTTCCTTGTTACTCTCAAATTAAATATGAATGTACAAATAATCTTTAAGAGTTACAAGATGGCAGGTCAGAAGGTCCAAGTGCTGCGATACATGAGAAGCCATGGACAGGTCATGTGACCCAGACAAACATGTCTGCAGGAAATATCACCAGCTGCACAAACTCAAGCTCCGAGTTTTGGAACTTGAGCAGCAGTTGCAGTCTCGTGTATCCAAGGAAGTGAAGACAACTCTATGCACTTCCGGTCACAGCAATGTAGGAAGGGTGTGATTGAACTGGAGAGGGTGCAGAGGAGATTCACCAGGATGTTGCCTGGGATGGAGCATTTCAGCAATGAGGAACTAGATAAGCTTGGGTTGTTTTCTTGGGAACAGAGAAGGCTGGGGGTGTGGGGGACCGGAGGGATGTAAAGGTTATGAGGGGCACAAGCATGGACAGATTGACAGTAAGCAGCTGCTCCTTTTAGTCAAAAAAGGGTCAATAACAAGGAGCATAAATTTTAAGGTCAAAGGCAGGGGGGTTTAGAGGGGATTTGAGGAAAAACCCTTTTTTCACCCACAGGGTGTTGGTGGGCCTGAAAGGGTAGCTGAGGCAGGAAACCTCAACTTTCAACAAAGTGCTTAGATCGACACGAAGTGTCATAACATTCAAGGCTCTGAGCCTAGTGTGGGAAAGTGGGACTCTTATAGATAGTACAGGTGGTATAGACTCGATGGGCTTCTTCTGCGCTGTATGAATCCATGGTTCTAAGGAAAAGGAATGGAATTGCACTGATAGAGTGTAATATCAGTACAGTATTAAATGAGGGTTTCCGATTGGAAGGGCAAAACTTTCTTGTCGCCACATTCACAAACATCCCCGAGGGGCAACTTCTTCCAGGAGAGAGTGGCGTGTATGTGGAATGGGCTGCCAGAGAAAGTGGTTGAGGCGGGTACAACAGCATTTACAAACATTTGGCTAAGTACATGGATGGAACGGGTTTAAGAGGGATATGGGCCAAATGCAGGCAATTCAACTAGCAGAGCAGGCATCATGGTCAGCATGGTGCAGGGCTGGATGAACACAGCAGGCCAAGCAGCATCATAGGAGCATGAACCAGTTTGGGCTGAAGGGCCTGTTTCCATGCTGTATTACTCTATGACTATGACTCTATCCACTCTTTCCACTACCAACACTCAGACGGTAGTGTGTACCATGAACAAGATACACTGCAGAAATTCACCAAAGATCACTCCAACCTCATGACCCGTTCCATCGAGGACAAGGGCAACAGATACATGGGAACACAGTCCCTCGCAAGTTCCCCTGAGCAACTCACCATCCTGACTTGGAAATATATTGCAGTCCCTTCTGTGACAGTGGGTCAAAATCCTGGAAGTCCACCTCTCTAAGGCACATAAACTGCAGCATTTCAAGGAAGCAGCTCACCAGCACATTCTCAAGGGCAACAAATGTTGGTCAGGCCAGTAACAGCTCCCACGTCCCACTTCCTCACCCTCCTCCTTCAACTCTACTTTTAGTTAATCCTACTAACACCTTGTCTGGTTCATTGCTCGAGTGTACACTGCTGTGAGGCCCCTAAGGCTATCCATTGGAGTTACAGACAAAAAGACAAGTTGTCTTACCACTTTTGCACTTTTGATGCTGTTCAAATAGCTACGTAACTTCACAGTCTCAGCAAACAGGGCCTTACACACAGCTTGATATTCAGTTACTGCCATAGAAGGATTCTGGAGCTGGTTTTCACACCTCTGAAAGAAGAGCACAGCAAGATTTACTTTCAGCAGTATCGTTCATTTTTATAAACCTCAAATTGTCATTACACTCAACTAAGCAACTTTACCACTAAAATCAGTTGCTTTTTCTCTCCCCTTAACCTCCACCAGCAATCACCCTGTGTAAACAAACATTACCAAGTAAAGCCTGGTGTGGCAATGCAAACCATCAAAATTGAGGGGCAGGGAAGAGGCTAAATCAGAATGGAATGGGAGGGGAAGATAAAGCACAGTGTCCCCCCCACCCCCACGGTGCCCACCTCTATAAAGGCATCAGCAGCAACATTTAAATTCACCAATTCAACATCTCACAGCCAAGTACAGGATCTTAAAAAGGTGCTTCATGATTAATCTCTGGAATAGTTTAAGATCCTGGGCAGGTTAGAGCGAATTGGTGACACTGATTAGTCCAGTTTACATTTCAGATACAGGTGAGTATCCATGCCAACTTCCAGCCGAATGTGATATGTCAAGTCTCACTGCAGAGTACCACAAGATACCCAGGGCCCATAACAGCTAAGCCTGGCAGCTTTAGGGCACAGCCTGACCTGCAACGTCCATGCCTAGGGAAGCTGGCATTAATGAAGAGTCTTGTACAAAAGTGGATCATAGGTTTCTTAACCAGTGGGTTAAAGGCACAAGCCTGCTCTGCTCTAACTGTTGGCTTTGATTTTTGCCTAGGAACAGGGATGAGCATCATTCCAAACCTGCTTCACCAGTTAGATCATAGCTAACTTGAATCTTAACCATTTACCTGTACGGGTATTAAGGCCTCAATACCATTGCCTAACAAAGTCAAACTTAGTTTGAGATGAGCATTTTAAAAACAATCAGCCATCCAACCATAGTTAATCTAGTCTCCCACAAAGTTACAAGTTGGGCACAGTTACCATGATCTCAATTCTTCAGCAGAACAGTGGCTCAGTGGTTAGCACTACTGCCTCAGCACCAGGGACCTGGGTTTCATTTCACTGTATGGAGTGGGCACATTCTCCCTGTGTATATGGTTTTCCTCGAGGTATTCCCATTTCCTCCCTTAGTCCAAAGATATGCAGGTTAGAGTGGATTGGCCATGCTAAATTACCCATATAGTGTCCAGGCTGGGTGAGTTAGCCATGGGAAATGTAGGGTTACAGGGATTGGGTAGAGGGAAATGGGTCTGGATGGGATGCTCTGAGGGGCAGTGTGGACTTGATGGGCTGAATGGCCTGCTTCCACATTGTAGGGATTCTACGTTTTAGGTCAATCTCCTAGATCTTTGCAACAGAGGGAAACATTCAGTTGTGAACCCCACCCCACCTCCGCCCACCACCAGTGTCAAATACAAGATGGACGAGAAATAAGGAACTGAACAACGCCACAAATCCACAAATCATTTCAAAAGCAAAAATATATAGATGGCAGCTGGTGGAAAATCTGAAGGCGAAACAGAAAATGCTCCAATACTCAGCAAATCAGGCAGTATTTGTGAAAGAACAGATAACATTTCAACTCCATGATCCCTCATTAGGACGGGTGGATCTTTATAAATAAGATGGGTTTTTAGGCAAGTGAATTGTGGAGGTATATGAAAAATGTGGAATGAGTCTAGGATATGGTGCAACACAGGAAGGATTAAATGACAAACAAGATGGTAACGCAGGGTCAAAGCGGGTGTCAATGGCACAAGTGGAAGCTGAGACTTGAACACATGGACAGCCCAAAAATCATGAAGCAGGGATTCTTTACTCCATTGCCATCAGGCAATTACAAGCAGGAAGAGAATTAACAGTAACAAGGCGTGGAGCTGCATGAACACAGCAGGCCAGGCAGCATCAGAGCAGCTGGAAGGCTGACGTTTCAGGTCTGGACCCTTCTTCAGAAATGGGGGAGGGGAATGGGGATCTGAAATAAATAGAGTTGGGGGTGGTGATAGAAGGTCGATAGTGGAGCAGATAGGTGGGAGAGAAGACGGACAGGTCAAAGAGGCAGGGATGACGGCCCCACTATCCAGCTTCTATCATCGCCTCCCCCCTCTATTTCAGAGCCCCCTGCCCCTCCCCCATTTCTGAAGGAGGGTCCTGGCCCGAAACGTCAGCTTTCCTGCTCCTCTGATGTTGCCTGGCCTGCTGTGTTCCTCCAGCTCCACACAGAGAGTGTTATCTCAGACTCCAGTATCGGCAGTTCTTACTTTCTCTCAGAGAATTAAGGGTAAATAGGAATAGAGAACATGTGGAACAAAGCCTGAGAAATACATTGGACTGAGGAGTTCTTTGTCTATCTATTCCCCTTCCCATCAATCCTCCTTCCACCAAAGGCACTTTCATCCAGTTAGAGACCATTCAACTTCTCCAGCTACCCTCCCTCACTCTCACCACCCACGCTGGAGGTCCTGTTACACTCCATTTGAAAATCTCCGTCCCAGCAATGACACATGGCACACAGTGACAATGTGCCAAGTGGTGGAGTGATGATCAGGGTCAGTTGTTGCACGATAGCTAGAATGTTCAAATCCACACGAACAGCTGTATTCTCCTCTGACATCACCAATCTGGACAAATGGGAAGTGGTGTGAGATCCAGCATTTGCTGGAGAACCTTTCAGCCTCTTATCTGTCTTAGTACCTTCCAAGGGATCCAGACTTTTGGTAGAGAACCCACAGGACTCCAGGAGTTGTACGACATTTGTTGCTTCAGATTCTGCTTCTTGGCAGGTCCTCCCTGCACTATTATCCAATAGGTCACCCTGCTGCTTCTCAGTCTTCATTCAAGATGTTTTCACTACTTTCTGATGAAGGCTCTAGGCCCGAAACACCAGCCTTTCTGCTCCTATGATGCTGCTTGGCCTGCTGTGTTCATCCAGCTCTGCACCTTGTTGTCTCTGTTATTAGAAGGTGAGCCTTCTTGTCAGCTTGCGATCTGTCATGTATTTCTCTGACTTTGGGACTCCACCTTGAATGCCTGGCTGAGGCTTAGGTGATGTTTGTCTATCCACTCACTGACCTGGCCATCTCCAGAAGAATTTAGGGGTGGGTGGGAATCCTGGAGAGTTGGTCAATGGGAAGGATTAGGTCTGATCCAGAGAAAAAAAAGAGAGTCTGGAGAAGAGCTGTGGCGGAATGTGGGGCACTATCTCCAGAACGTACTCAGGCCACTTTGTTCATTCTCAGGGAGGCAAGGTGCAGAGATTGGCTGAATCCTTCACACTGCCCATTACCCTTTGGATGATGATAGTGCTGCAGCTCTTGGAAATGCTATAAACCCTGCACATGTAGGATCCTGCTCTCAAAGTTGCTCCTCCAATCACCAAATTTGACATGGAACACCAAAATGGACAAACCAATCACACGCTAATGCTCTGGCTATAAAGTGAGACCTTTTGGTCTTGAGAACATGGTGAATACATCTGTGATTATGAGAAATGTGCTCTATCCCATTGCTACCCGAGTCAAGGATTGTAAAACCCATTGCAAGCACCTATAGAGCTCTCTTGGTGACCAGGGATCCCACAGTGGATTGAAGTCACATCCCTGTTTTGGCCAAAGTCTACTTCTCAACCACGAGAGTCATCATGAATATTAATATCGGTCCTGGGTCAGGAACACTATTCATTGGCTGGGGCCTTTGCTTGGTGCCCTGATTGATAACGAACTGTTACCAACACTTGACCCTTAAGGCTATCAGGATGGACAAATTGCTTCACCTTTCTCTCCTTGTCAGGAACCAGCCAGAGGCCTCTACCTTCTTCCCAGGTCATCTTCCAGCATCTCAATAGTTTCCAAACCAGGTTGGACTCCATCAGCTAGGGTTGGCTATGTGGATGGCAAGCCTTCCAGTAATGGTGCTGAGGTCAATCAGCTGATATTGTCTGGTCCTTTGCCTGGGAGATAGAGGGCAAAGGTGAAACCACACTTGGCATGACCCATCTGGACCTGGTTTGGATCTCACTCAGAAGGCCATTGGTGACTCTCAGCTGGATCTTAGTCAGAATGTCATCAGGAAACAGGGACAGAAGGCAGTCTTTGACTTACGGTGCGGACATGGTGCAGTCAGAGCCCTCTAGAGTTGGGCAGAGGGAGTTTCCTGTTGGTGGTCAGTCTTCCAGCTGAAAGGGTGTCAATATGTGCATGACCTTTACCTGAACCTGTAACAGATCTGGAATTGAAACAGGAGGAAATAACCCTCCCCAAAGTCAGCAAGTCAACTTTCATCCTGGAGTAGTTCTCAATATTCCTCATGTTTGGCTGGAGATTCTGGAATACATATACAATATTCACTCTTGCGTCTATGAGCCAGTGACAGGGCTGCTCGGAGGCCAAGGAGCCTGGGCATCAGGTCTCAGTTTGAAAGGGAGATAGAAATCTGAGGAACAAGGACAGCTGATGGGCCAAGCTTCTGCCTGAGGTGCTGGGATCCATCTCTCTGGGTTGGTCCATGAAGTATCATAGCTCACTCCTTTCCCAATGGCTCCTGCAGCTTTCTCAGATTTCCTCAGCAAATTGTGGAGGGGGGGGGGGGGGGGGGGGGGGGGGCAGCCAACTGTGCACAGCCTTGGAGAAACCTTCTTGTACCCATTCAGATGGCTTCTAAATGTTATAATTGTACTCACCTCCACCACTTCCTCTGGCAGCTCATTCCATACACGCACCACCCTGTGAAAAAGTTTCTCCTTCGGTCCCTTTTAAATCTTTCCCCTCTCACCTCAAACCTACATCATCTAGTTTTGGACTCTCTACCCTGGGAAAAAGGCTGGTTTATTCACCCTACGCATGCCTCATGATTTTATAAATCTCCCAGGTTACTCAGTCTCCGACACTCCAGGGGCAAAAAAGCCCCAGCATCTCCCTGTAGCTCAGACCCTCCAGATGCAGCAACATCCTGTCAATCTTTACTGCACCCTCTCTGGTTCAACAACATCCTTCCTATAGAAGGAAGGGTGACTAAAATTGTATGCAATATTCTAAAAGTGGCCTCAATGTCCTGTACAGCCATAACATGACATCCTAACTCCTACACTCAATGTTCCGGGCAATGAAGGCAAGTGTACCAAACGCCTTCCTTACCACCTGGTCTATCCCTGATGCAACTTTCAAAAGATCTATGCCCCTGCATCCCTTGGTCTCTGTTCAGCAACACTCCCCAGGGCCTACCATTAAGTGTATAAGTCCTGCCCTGGTTTGCCTTTCCAAAATGCAACACCTCATTTATCTAAATTAAACTTCTCCTGCCAATCCTCTGCCCATTGGCCCATCGGATCACGTTCCCACTCCGCTACCACCGATTTTCCCCATCAGGAGTAATACTTTCCTTAGTAACAAATGCCCCAGGTCCTGTAATTCTGACTGGAAAGGTTGGCAATTCTCATTTGACTTTCAAGTTGAAATGCTGAGAGAAGGCTATCATTTTATTTTCTGTATTGTGGATTATAGGCTAAAAAAAAAATGGAAGAGGGAATGTTTTAAAAACAAAGGGCCGTGGAAGGAATTGTGCAGTTTCTCCACAAGCTTCTGAAACTCTGCTTGAACAAAGCAACAGTGTAAACACCAATAAAGGGAGGAAGAGGGGAGGTATGTCACCTTGGAAGGGATACATGCACACAGTGGGATTTAAATTGTGACCTGTTGTGGATGCCAGGGGTAATCACCCTGACAACAGCTTGGGTTTCTGGGCAGCTGGACAGCTTGTGGGTATGGATGCATGATCCAGAAGCCTTTGGACTGCTGGAGGGGAGGCTTGTGTCACCCTCTCACTGCAGTAAAAATACCCAGATCAAACTAGTTATTTTCTCACTAGTAGATTGCCTTTAACCAGTAATTAAGAGATGTTATAGCCAGTGCAGCAGTCACCCTATGTCTACTGTAACTAAGTGAAAGAGCCTGGAGGAAGCAAGTTAAAGAACAGAAAGTTTTGGAAAGCCAGCAGGAACAACTCAAACCCAGTGGAGTGGTGCTAGTGAACTGAGTTTCCCAGGTTTTTAATCATTCCATTCATACAACCAATATTATTTGATCTGTGGGGCCTGTCTGAGAGAGTACTGGGTCTATAAGGGGGTTAAGTATTTTCACAAGTTGAACAGATCATACCTGCCTGCGTGTGACTAGAATTTACGGATTTGTAGGAATCAGTAGTTCTAGTTAGGTACTGGAACTGGTCAGGTGTCTTCAGTTAACTTGATACCAGCAGACAGGGAAATCAGACTGTGTACATTTTATACACAGTGTAGATTTGTGGTGACTCCAGAAGTAACAGAGCTTGAGAAACAGTACACTTTCCCAGCTGGATCCTAATACTGTGGTTAGCCAGCTAAGAGGGGAGTCCACTATTACAAAAGGTCTCCTCAAAATGTAGAGCTGAAGGGAAGCACGCTGTGCAGATACATTGGGCAGAGATGTGAGGGAAATGAAGTTCACCAAAAGCTCCACCCACTCGCATGAAGGTCAGAAGTCACGTGATACCAGATTATAGTCCAACAGGTTTATTTGAAGTCACATGCTTTTCATCGCGCTGCTCCTTCATCAGGTGAAGTCACATGACAAGGGAGCAGCTCTCCAAAAGCACGAGACTTCAAATAAACCTGTTGGACTATAACCTGGTGTCGTGTCACTTCTGACTGTCCACCCCAGTACCTCCACATTATGGCTATATTTGCAAGAAGGTTGCAGAGGCCAAAGATCACTCGTGTATTTGTGAAGTCCTTGTTCAGAATACGAACTTTTCAGTGTCTTGTTCGAAGATAGGGAGCAGATTAAGACTGTAGGCCAAATCAAGACACTAGAAATACATTGCACCTTTGAGAACCTGTAATGCTTCAATCACTGATGACCAACAGACACATGGGCTGAAGGATCTCTTTCTGGGCTGTAAAATTCTGACTCAATCCTAGACAGAGAGTAAGCATCATGAGTCTTTGTACCAAGTGCCCAGTAATAGACTGAAGCTTTTCCATCTTCCTTTCTCACAGGGATCTATGGGAGAGACATACAGATGTGTTGACTCTGATGACACCTCTCTCCAAAACCTTCTGCAGGTAATTCTTGGATTTCCTCCCATTGAAGGTCTGGAATCCTGTATGGAATCCTTACTGGACCATCATTTGTCATCACAATCTGACAGTTTACTAGGTCACAATGCCCAATATCACCTTTACTGAAAGTCGTCCCATAATTGGGGAGAGAGTAAAAACAAGCTTCTTCCTCAGTCTCTCCTTCAACTCGCCAACATCCACTTTTGAAATGAGGTTCAGGACATCTCTCCCAATTGCCCATGACTGTGCCAGGTTTGAGGGCACCAGTGAGTGTACTTGGCTGAAGGTAAACATCCCTGTTGCTGACATTGATGATCTCCATATGTTCACCCCCCCCAACCCCACTTTTCTCCCACAATGCCAAGGGCAGCTCCCAGAATTCCAAACAGAAGCTCTGCTCCACAAAACACTGACATTGGCCTGTTCAAGGTGGCTGAAATGAGCCCTTCCAGAACGGTGATGGTGCACAGTACACAAAGAACAGCCCTATCCCCTGCTACACAAATAATAGTAGGGTCCCATAAAGGCTGATGGGCCTTCAGCATGTGAAGCAAAAGCAAAGCCTGCTGCGCCCTCTCACTGTCCATGCTTTGCAACCACATTCATCTCATCACGCTAATGACAACAACATCATTCCCAAAATGTCCTTTGTTCTCCCAAAATATCGATTAGATACAAACTCCCAGATAACCCAGGCTGTGAAAAGTGTGACCGAGGGCAGAAAGGGAGAGCACAACGTGGCCATGATGGTGGGGGATGTCTGATCCCAGTGAAACAGAGATCCACATCAGGGAAGAGACATCTACCAGCTCACATCCCTCAGCCAAATACTCACCAGAATGACTGGTGTATAACAATGGACTCCTCCACCCCTTTCTCAACTCCGCACAATGCTTCACACCTCACTGTGCGGTAGGTCCCTACCGCTCTATATAAGCCCCTTCCTGAAGCATCCTCTGCCTAGCCCATAAAGGGGAGAGCCAACCTGTTTCACTGCTGGTGAGAAGGGAAGTCTCTGTGCCTGGTGGCAGTGGTAGCTATGATCGCTGAGGGCAGTCTTGTTTAATATGTCCAGCCCTGGCACCATTCCAGCAGCTCTTTACAGCATCCCTTGGGAATAATTGACCATGAGGATGACCCATGGAGGTGGCCAGTGAGAAATGAGCCTGATCTTGCTGTGCAGCAGCAATCTGTTCCTGAGGCCTACATCCCTGTTTCTGCTGACAGTCACTTCCCCAGTGGTGGCCTGGCTCCTGCTCTGAGGTGGTGTCCATGATCTGGATGATGTGATCCTTGGGTCAAAGGCAGACAATTAACGGGTGTCTCAGAAGCCTCAACTCCATCTGGACATTCTCATCCTTTGGGATCCTGGTTGATCAGGACAAGGGATCAAAGTGGAAAATGCATTTGAACAACTTCCACCTCCAGGGTCATGGAAACCAGATCCTTCCCTTTAGCTTGAACCTCAGCTGTCATGTTGTCAGGCTACTGCTGTCCCCTTAAAAACCCTCATCAGGTAATCATTGACTATTTGCATCTCATCCTAATATTTCCTGATGACCTTTCCCAGACAGATGTTCTATCACAAATGCTACATGGAGGAGGTCCAAGGATGAACAGCTGGTTATAGCATCCTGAATTCTCAGATCATCACCAGGTGTTTCCCCCAAATATGTTTAGCTTCCTATCAACAAGTAGAACATCCAGGAATACTGTTATATTCCTCTGCAGCACCAAGGGAATGAACATGGGGAGCCTCTGTTCTGCCTGGGTTGGGTCTATAGATCCAATTCCTTCTACCAATACTGGAGCCTCCAATGATCTTTGAGGAGTTCAGTCTCCCTCACAGACATGGTGAGTTCCAACTCCCCCACCAACTGCACCATCTCAGTCAGGACCTTTCCATCCAGCACAGCCTGATGCCTATGTTGCAGAATCCTACCAACTACCCCAAATATGTATTGAGCACATGGACAGCCCAAAGATCATGAAGCAGCAATTTTTTACTACACTGCTACCAGCTCATTACAAACAGGGACAGAAATGAAGATTAAACAAAGTAGTATTTGCTGTGTTTACATGTAATAGAGCCTGTGGTTTACATTGAGATGATGAATCCTTTGTTTATCTGCTCCCCTTTCTCATCAGTCCTGCTCCCAAAGATGTCTTTTATTTTTAGGATGAATTCATTTGCCTGCTCCCTCACCATCACCACCTACTTCTGGGAGGTCCTCTTACACAAGTAAGCAAACAAAGGGTCAGAAGTGGCGTGCCAAGCAGGATGATGAGTAGATGCCAGCTGAAAGCAAAAGGAAGCCAAGGGGAAGAAAAATCAAGGCAAAGAAAAAATGGAAACAGGGACTATGATCCAAAATTGATAAACTCAGCTGAGTTCAGAAGGCTGTAAAGCGTCCAGTAGAAAGCCAAGGTTTGTCCCATGATATATCAATGGAATACTGCAGAAGGTTGAGGACACAGGCTTCAGAAAGTTTATCAGGTGGAATATTAAATCTTACTATTCTAACCTCCTCTAAAATGCATCTTTAAGATCTTTACTTATACTGTCACTAATTATTTTGGCCTTGCATCAGGAATCATATTGTCACTCACTGTCCTGCTGTCTACATTTTCTCTCTCTCGCACCTGTTACATTTCTAACTTCTTCCAAGTTCTGTTGTGAAGTCAAAGACCTGAAGTGTTAGCTGTTTCTCACTCATTAGTAGCAAATGCAGCCCCTATCTTCCTGATCTTGGCACTACACATGGAACAAAGAAATTGGCATTTACCAGAAATGGACACCATCCTTTATAACAGGTTAAATCAGACAAAAATCAATATGCATTGCTGTTGTTAGATTAATTCCAGATGTTTGGAAGTTTTTCCTTCCTCCAAACGGAAAGCTTGATCCAGGTGTTTCAATGAAGGCAATAATTCCAAACAGATCCGCTACAACACTGTTCACACAGTAAGTTACCGTGAGTATTTCGCTGATAGTGCCCGGAGGCTGATTGTCTGTTCTCAGCACCATTTGCTGTATCAATTCTTCCAAAGGCAGGCTGAGAACACGTTCCTCATCCTCACTCAGACTCCAGTCCAAGGCCTTGTATATCAGCGCTCCGAGAGAATTGACAACCTGAAGCAAAGCACAAGCTTAGTTTTATCATTATGCAATCAGATAGAAATGATATTAATGTTGTTGATTCATAGCTGGTTAAAAGCAGAGGAACATTTAACATAAAGTTCCATGTTTATGGACAGTTATGTCAAGATTTCTGTAAGACTGGCCTGTCAGTGTGCATTAAAACTGCCTGTTTGATTTTATAATGGGAGACAGGCTATTAGGCAGTACCAGTCAAGAACAGTGATTTGGTGACCAATGGTAATCACTTTCTTCCCTCAAATACATAAGGCTTTGAAAGAGCAATTCCATTCTCTACTAGGTCAGATGTTCACCTTTTTTGTTCCCACAAGAACAGCTATAAGTCTCTCAACCTTTCCCCATGGCAGAGGTCCCTCATCGCTGGTTAATACCTCTGTCTCCTCTATATGCTTACTAAACCTTTTACCTCTTCCCTGAAGTCCAGCATTGGCCAGCAGTGCTCTTGGGCCTAGCCAGTCATTTATCAGGGTTTAACATGATCCATCTTGACCTTTATCTATAGTGGAGATAAACCTAGTGTTCACTGGACCCTCTAAACTTGTACCCCGTTAAGATTCACAGGTTGGTATAAACTATTCACCAACAGCTGATCAATAGTAAGATTGTCCACGAGCTATTCATGGGTCTAGTTACAAAAGCAAATGCTGCAGAAAACCAATTAGCAATGAAGGCCTTCTTGCAAGGTACTTAAGTTTGCGCGTACAAAGTAAATAGGGACAAGCAGATATCAAGGCTCACCATCACGGGTCAGTTTAATTTGATTGCTTCAGTTTATACCTGGACCTCTGATGTTAGTTATACTCAAGGTGAGATGCGAATTGTTGATTGGGTGGAACCTATTCCATTCCCAGCTGGAGTTGAACTAGATGCAGTTTAAACCTGCCTCCATTCAACGTATGTTGAACATAGGCACATTTTAGTAGAGAATTGTGGAGTCTGTTGCAATCATATCAAAAATAATTTACAAATCAGAGAATACAGAAATATCACATACCTCAGTAACCAGTGCGGGGGAAAAGAATCTGAAGTCAAATATCGTTTGATGAAATAACAGAAGGTTAATCAAGAAATTAGCATGTGTTGGACTTACAGAAAGCATTCAACAAAACACCACAGAAGCAGCTCCTTAAGAAGCTGGAAACACGGAATTGTGGGAGGAACTGCATTCATTCACAACTTCTGACTATAAGGATGAATGCATAAGATGGATCATGTTAAACCCTGATAAATGACTGGCTAAGCCCAAGAGCGCTGGTGAACAATGCTAGACTTTACTTCAGGGAAGATGTAAAGGTTTAGTAAGGACATGAGGAGAGTTACTGAGGTATTAACCAGGGATGAGGGATCTCTGTCATGGGGAAAGGTTGGAAGTTACAGCTGTTCTCATGGGAACAGAAAAGGTGAACATCTGACCAAGAGGTAATCAACATGAGAGACTTTGACACAGCTCACAGGATAAGAACACTGTGGCAAGTATCTCACCTCACTACATACAGCTTGTCCATCAACTACAAGGCACAAATCAGGAGTGAGATGGAATACCCCCCACTTGGGTGCAGCTCGATACCATCCAGGACAAATCAGCACCATATCCAGGTGAGTGGGAGATTAATCCATCATACTTTTGACATTTACATGTTCCATCACCAACACAGTGGAAGAGATGTGCAACGTCTACAAGATGCACTGCAGCAATTGCTGAGGCTCCTTTGAAAGTAACCTTCCAATCCTGCCAACTCTGATCTAGAAGGACAAGGGCAATAGATACATGAGACAACATCACCTGCAAATTCCCCTCCAAGCCCCCCACACACCATGCTCACTTGGAAATATATCACTAACGATGGGTCAAAACCTTCTCCCCAACAGCATTGTGGTTCTAACTACACCATAAAGGATCCAATAGTCCAAGCTGACCACTCACCACCACCTTAACTAGGACAATCAGGGATGAACAATGATGACTACATCCTGTGATAAAGAACAAAAATAAAAGACTGTTGCCTCTAGCAAGTCAAGAGTAGTCATCGATAAACACCGATTGGTAAAACATTTAATGGGAAGATGGGCAAACTGTTTATTTGGTTGTCAGGATTTGGAATGATCTGCCTGAAGAACTGATAGAAGCTGAATTTCTTTTAAAACAAGTAATTGGACAAGTACTTCAGGGTGAGGAACTTGGATGGTTGCACACAAGTAGAGATGTAGTCTAAGTAGGACTACTCTTCATGAGCCAGCTCAGGCTTGATGGGCTGACTAGCCACCTCCTGCACTGTAAGAATCTATATTTAGATGATATAGATATAGGGCGACATATTGCAGGTGAAATTCACTTCAAAAGTGGAAACCCAGCATAAAAGTTGACAAGAGATAGTAGGAACTATCAATGCTGGAGAATCTGAGATAACAAGGTGTAGAGCTGGATGAACACAGCAGGCCAAGCAGCAGAGGAGGAGGAAAGCTGACATTTCGGGTCTGGTCCCTTCTTCAGAAAAAAGACAAGGGTGGGGAGGGAAAAGTGTCCTTTGTACTGGGGTTACTCACCTTTACTGGGTCCATCCCCACCTCCTTGACCTGTCCATCTCCTCCCCACCTGCTTGACCTGTCAATCTCCTCTCCACCTATCTGCTCCTTTATCCACCTTCCATCTGTCTCTCCCCCTCTCCCTATTTATTTCAAAATCCCCTTCCCCTCCCCCATTTCTGAAGAAGGGTCCAGACCCAAAACGTCAGCTTTCCTGCTTGGCCTGCTGTGTTCATCCAGCTCTACACCTTGTTACCATAAAAGTTGACAAACTTCTTTAACAGAATGGAAAGGAATTGTCATCCCTTGTCAAGCAAAAAGCATACCAGGTTAAATCTGGGTAAAGTGAAATAGAAATACTACTGGCAAGGCAAATTCTGCAACCCAATTTTCTTTTTATAATCTTATTGCCAGCATTCAGTGAAATTCTCCCCTTTGTGCGCCAAGGGGTGGTGTAATGTGGACACTAAGTGAAGGGGAATGCCAGAGAAGCCTGCTCACAAACAAACATCAAACATCATAAAAAACAAAGGCAGGGCCAGGTGGGCTTCAGTGGTGACCACCTGGAGTCATAACTACAGCTGAGAATACAAAGTACAAAGGGACATGGGGTCAGAGTGAGTCACGCAGGTTCAAGTCCATTCCAGCATTCATTGGGATCACGACTGATTGGTGTCTCACCTGCCTTGGCTCTATCAGCTTATAGCCCAGAGCAACAAAAGTGAGTAATCTCTGATTAATAGCTCAATTTAGCCCCAATTGTACCTTGGTTGGAGAGAGAACATTTCCTTGCTTCTCTCAGGAGTCTGATAGGCACCCTCATTCTGCAGAAGGATATAGAATCCCTACAATACAGAAAGAGGCCATTTGGCCTATTCAGTCTGCATCAGCCCTTCGAAGAGCATCCCACCCAGATCCATACCCCTCCCCTATCCCTGTAACCCTGCACTCCCCATTAATAATCCACCTAGCTTACACATCCCTGAATGTTATGGGCAATTTAGCATGGCCAACCCACCTAGCCTGCACATCTTTGGACTGTGGGAGGAAACCGGAGCACCTGAGGAAACCCACGCAGACACGAGGAGAATGTGTAAACTCCACAGAGACAGTCGGGTCCCAATGAGGCTACAGTGCCAATCAGAGCCACCTTACACCACCCTAAAGGCTATTTACTCACAGGAAATTACTTGCTATCTATTCTATCTTCAAAATTCTAAAATAATCATCATTTCACCCCCTCCATTTACTGTAATTTAGAAAGTTGTCTATCTTATCTAAGCCAGACAACAAGTCTTGGATAAGATTCTGTGAATCCTCATTGCACTCCATCCATCAATATAATCCTCCCAAGGGGTATGGTAGCCAGAACTGCAGATTACTCTTATATTCAGTATCAATAGCTTTCTGCAACTGTAATCAAATACTCAGCTCCAATTGTATAGGCCAACATTTCATTAGCCTTGATGAATATTTTCAAGCCAACTGCCAGTTTGTATATGGACTCCTAAATGTCTTTGGATGTTCATTGATCATCATTAAGTACTCTGATCTGAAATCTTACCCATATCAATATGCATCGCCCAGTTTGACCCCTTTAATCTGCCAATACTTCTCTGCAATTTTATGCATCCATTTATACTATTTATGATACTGTCAATATTTGCAGCTCCTATTGAGTTATAAGCATAGTGGCCAGTTGCAGTTTCAGCGCAGATCATTATGGGACACCACAAAGTACTTCCTTGTAATACTCATTGTTAGTCTGTCCTTAACAATCTTGAACAAAGTGAATAATTTGCATTCAATTCCACAAGTCTCAAGTTTAATTATTTATATGGAACATCAAATACCTTCTGCAAATCCAAACATACAGTCTTCAGTCTATGACTGGAGTTACTTAGAACAGAACAGTACAGCACAGGAATGGGGCCTTCGGCCCACAATGTTGGGCCAAACAGGATGCTAAATTAACTTAATCCTTTCTGCCTACTCTTGGCCCCAATCCCTCCATTCCTTATATATTTGTGCTTATTAAAAAGTTTCAGGCGCCTATATCGTTTCTACCTCCACCACCACCTCTGGCAGCACGTTCAAGACTTCTATCACTGTGTTAAACATTTGCTAATCTCCCTTGAACTTTCCCTCTCTCACCTTAAATGCATGTCCCCTAGTGTTAGACATTTCAACTCTGGGATAGAAGGCTCTGACAGTCAACCCTATGCATCACATCATTTTAATAGACTTCTATGAAGTCTTCCCTCAGCGTCCTGCCATTCTAGAGAAAACAACTCGAGTTTCTCAAGCCTCTCCTCTGCTAACCATGATAGGTACCCCCATTCTGCAGAAGCATATAGAATCCCTACAGTACAGAAAGAGGCCATTTGGCCTATTCAGTCTGCATCAGCCCTTCGAGGACCATCCCACCCAGTTCCATACCCCTATCCCTG